GTTATGTCTTTATGATCGTTATCAACTTAATTCGCTAATCTCTCACGACTACTACCCAAGTGTGATGTCCAGAATTTTTATAGGAAAATTAAATGAAAAATAATATAGATATAGCCATAATGCAAATTAATATCACTTAAACTCAATAAATCACAAAACAATGGAATTGAGAGCATCAGCGACGAAATGTCTCACTCAACATGCTCCCGTTTCTCAATATCAAAATTCGCAAATGGAGGAATGGTTGAGAAACAATGAAACAAAAACCCCAGAAACCAAGTGAACTTCTTTCCTGAAGACGATTTAAAAGGGTGGAAGTGTTGGAGCCCCCACGAGTCAAGTGACTCGTAAAAACCAGTAAAAACTCCAGAAAAATCAAAATTAATCAGTCTTGAAGCAGCGATGGAGCAGTAATAATTCTGGTCGAAATAGTTCACTTAATCGGCCGGGTTTTTCAAGCCTTCAATACTATAATAACTCGTAGTGTCGAAATTACGCTGAATAGTTGCCGAATTAATAGTAGGCTACGAACAATTGAAATTATCCGGCAATCGAATTTCTTTAACCGAGAGGGGTGATTTTTTTTGCATTTAAAGAATTAGACTATTGCGAAGCGTTGTGGACAGTCTCACCCAAAACTATTAATTTCAATTGTCCTGTCAAATATTTCGAACTCAAAATAAACTATACGAGTGGAAGAAAGTGTTTTTGTGAGAGTATACATAATAGCCTCTAGTGAATCTAGTTATTGGTGAGGAAATGGCGAATTCAACCAAGGATCCATATAAAAAAATTGATACATAAATGAAATCGAACTGTGAGTAATCAAATTTTGTGAAACAATTGGAATCAGATCCTTTAGATCCTTCCAGGCGTAGGAATTTTGAATTAACTACATATAAACTTTTGTAAAATGCAAATTTATACTTTTGTAAATTACGTAGTTCTCAAAATAATAATGAAAATCGAATTTAATTGCTAATAAAACTCTAGATTTGGTGACTCGTGAATATTCCTAACAACAATCCTACCTCTAAACAAAATTTTCTTATTTAGAATATTTCCCGTCAAAATGGAGCTGCAATTCAATATTTTAATGAAAAGGTAAGAGTATGAACCTAGCTTCGTACAGTAAATTCAAATTTTAATGATTTTAGCTATCTTTTTAATAAAACAATTGAAAAGATAGTCCTCCTATGCTGATAATTTCTCCAGACATCACACATGAAATGGAATGAGTCGTTGAATCTTAAATTTAGACAACGCCCTGCTACCCATTTAGTAAAAGAGATATAATGTTCTTTATTAACTGGAAGAATTTGGAATAGTATGAGAATTTTGATATGCAAGATTACAACTACTATGCGCAGCCCCGTAATAGTTTCCTGTTAAATGACAACGATCACGATCGTTATCACTTTCATTCAAAGGATTTTTACACATGTAACATGTCACTGCTGGTCCGAAATCCTCAATTTGCTGAGCTGATAAGTTTTCCTTTTTCAGATTGGTCGTCAAGTATTTATCTACACTGTATGATAGCAACTTCATGTCCGTTGAAGACCACTCAATGCAATGAGGACCTCGATGGGTTTTGACTTGTGATAATGAATCGTCAAAAGCACATTTCACATAGAATGCGATACTATGAGGGATATCATGATCATTCTCTCTTGACTCAATTAAACATTCTAAATCTGCGTAAACGGCAAATGGGACGGTTTCTGCATGTTTGAAATTCTTAAAGTTCAAATTTTTTTGTTCTCTTCAGGCAAGACAATTCGTAATTTATTCAAATTTTCCTATGATAGCTCTATGGGGATGAGTTAGCTTTTCTTCTTCTGTTATTATTACTGCATATTTTTCATTAATTTCTCTGGAAGTTAGCTTTCTGATGGTTTCTTCAAATGTAGCGTTCCGAATTCATTCAAGTAGGTATTAATAAAATTTTTCTATTACCATTTAATCCAAGTGTCGAGGGAGAGAGAGAACCGTAAGAAGACAATCAGTTGTAGAGAAGGAAGGAATAATAAGAATAATGATGATAACATTCCATTAAGTTGAAAATCTGACAAAATGAGTTCAAAATGAATCTTATTTAATTTAATAGAATGATAAACAATAAATTTTACGTGATAGAAGGAAATAATTTGCGAAATAACTTTTTAGAAATAATCACAATATTGTTTTCGTCTTCTTCGCATATTCGACAGATATTATCATAAGTAATATTTTGACAACCAAAAAGCCCTATACGTCTTATAATCGATGTTTTTAACAAGTTTTTGAAATGTTTTTTCGTGTTTAGAAACGTTTGCCAATGTTTAAAAATGTTTTCAAATGTTTAGAAATGTTTTGAAAATGCTTTTCAGCTGCATGCAAATGGTTTTTAATGTTCTTAAATATTGGTTCCAAATGGAAACATTGTAATCATTTAAATGCAAGTTGTCGATTTTTCTTGATATATTGAACCATTATGATTCAAAAAGTCCAAAAGTGCCATTTTTAAACCATATCCGTACGAATGTATGTATGTGTGTACGTATGTTAACAAATTTTGCTTCGATTCTTCGCTAATGAATCGATTGCATTGAATCTTTTTTTCCCTGGAATGTATTCTTGAGCCCTATTAATCGCCATTCATTAAAATTCAATTCATTCATTACTTTCCAAAATTTTTGAATTTTTTCAAATATTTTTTTCACGATAACTAGAAAAAAATATTTTCAATTAATTGAATGATCGCTTAAAAAATTTGTTTTGATACGCTTGTGACCGAGTTCGAAGATGAAGGCGACATCAATAATCGTTATATATTTGCAAGTTTGCAAATGTTCTGTAATTTCTGAAAATCAGGATTCTGGGGATACTTTTGGACATCATGCTTGATTTTAATTCAATTATATCTTAAAATACGTGTTTTAATGCAATCAATTCGACGTTAAAAGATGATTATGATAGCTTTATTAGTTCATTTGATAGTTTGTGATGATTGTTGAACATTTCCAATTTTCCATGAATTTGTCTGAAAGTTAGCTTCCGGATGATTTCTTTAAATGTAATATTTCAAATTCATTCAAATATGCATAAACTAAATGTTTCTATTAACATTTTATCGAAGGGCTGAGGTAGAGAGAGTGAAATCTAAAAAAGTTAACTTTCAGAAAAATTCATGGAGAATAATAATTAAAAACATGGAAAATTGGAAATGTTCAACAATCATCATAAACTATCAAATGAACTAATAAAGCTATCATAATCATCTTTTAACATCGAATTGATTGCATTCAAACAAGTATTTTAAGCTACAATTGAATTAAAATGAAGCATGATGTCCAAAAGTATCCCCAGAATCCTGATTTTCGGAAATTACAGAACATTTGCAAACTTGCAAATATATATCGATTATTGATATCGCCTTCATCTTCGAACTCGTTCACAAGCGTATCAAAACAAATCTTTTAAGCGATCATTCAATTAATTGAAAATATTTTTTTTTAGTTATCATGAAGAAAAATATTTGAAAAAATTCAAAAATATTGAAAAGTAATGAATCAATTGAATTTTAATTAATGGCGATTAATAGGGCTCAAGAATACCTACATTTGAGGAAAAACAAGATTCAATGCAATCGATTCATTAGCGAAGAATCAAAGCAAAATTTGTTTACATACGTACACACATACATACATACGTACGGATATGGTTTAAAATTGCACTTTTGGACTTTTTGATTCATAATGCTTCAATATATCAAGGAAAATGGACAAGTTGAATTTAAATGATTACAATGTATCCATTCGGAACCTGTTTCGGCGAGAATTAATCCTTAAAAAACCGATGGAGAGCCGGGGTTCGGAGAAGGGTAGAGAAAATTCACAATAATTGAATGTCATTGTGCGCGTGGGTAGAGTCACAATAAAAAACTATATTTCTCATAAAATATACACAAAGCTCGAAAAATATATGTGTTTAATTGAACACTGTGAATTAATAATTGAGACGAGACACGGTAGACAGTTTTCACGTATGAGATGTTCACAATAATTCCCGATTTAATCGCGGAGATATTTCACACGATGTGCACTTGCTAGCCCGTGGATTGAGAAGAAGCCGGAAGTGAGTTGAGGTAGGTCAAGTGTCGCGGAAGGTGTCAAGAGATGAGAATTAATTAGGGCGTGGCCGGTAAAACAGTCACGTCCCAGGAGGTGCTGATGCACGCGGTCCTCACACGATGAGGCTCGTGCCTTAACATTCTCCTCTCGTCAGCAACTCTGTTGGTGACCAGGTTATGAGACGACCACGGTAACCTGAAACACTAAACAGAAGGATTAACTATGCCAACAGAGACCAGCGACTTTCAGCTGTCAGAGATTGGCAACGGAACCAGCTTCGAGATAGGTCGGGTCAAGGTTGTTGACGCAGTCCTGATTGTCACAACTCTGGAGAGACCGTCCTTCCCAGGGTGTAGAGCTATGGCACGAGCACGAGGAGGTTAGGCAGTGTATGAGGTGAATTTGAGAGTGAATTTCTGTGGTTCCCGGTAGCTCAGTCAGTAAGAGTGCCCGGCGCGTATCTGGGAGACCCGGGTTCGATTCCCGGCTGGGTGAAACGGAAATTTTTTTCTCTCCAAATTCTAATTCTCTTAGAATTCTTTAATGCCTAAAGGAGGTTAGGCGGTGTATAAGGTGAATTTGAGAGTGAATTTCTGTGGTTCCCGATAGCTTAGTCGGTAAGAGTGCCCGGCGCGTATCTGGAAGACCCGGGTTCAATTCCCGGCTGGGTGAAACGGAAATTTTCTCTCTCTAAATTCTAATTCTCTTAGAATTTTCTAGGGTCAGGCCACTTCGCTGGCGGGAAACTTTCATCGGAGAGAAGTACCAGGGAACTGGTGAAGAAGTACCGGTGCGAATATCGTTGGATGGATGATGACACTTGGAGATGGACTGAAGCTGCTGCAGGTATCCTGTAGACTACTGCTTCCAGAAATACTGCTGCCTCTACTGAATCAGTTGCCATCTTGAGAGACGTCCAACGTTGATATCACCCAGCGAAGGTTCCGGCAGAGTGATTGGAGCTTCTCCAATCAGAAAATGTCCTGGGGTGAGGCAAGACACGTCGTCAGTGTCTTCCGAGAGAGCCTGAAGAGGGCTGTAGTTGAGCACCGCCTCGATCTGGATAAGCAGCGTAGAGAGCTCCTCGAAGGTCAGTGAAGTGTCCCGAACAGTGCGAGAGAGATGAAACTTCACCGACTTCACCGCTGCGTCCCATTTCCCTCCAAAATGCGGTGCTCCCGATGGATTGAACGACCACCGTCTTCCATCCTTGAGACACACTGCAGAGAGATGCTGGAACTCCTTCGATCCAGCAGAAAACAGCTCCAGCTCCAGCTCCTTGTCAGCACCGATGAAATTTGTGCCGCAGTCACTAAAGAGGTTTCCGCAGTGCCCCCGATGACTCACGAACCTCCTACAGGCATTGATAAACCCATCAGCAGAATAATCCGTGACAGCTTCCAAGTGGGGAGCGGACGTGGCCATACACACGAAGATCACCAACCAACCCTTTTGGGTCTTATGACCACGCCCCTTCCACGTCTTGATCGACACTGGTCCGGCGTAATCCACACCAGTGTTAGAGAAAGCACGAGCCGAAGAAAGACGTGCTACTGGAAGCTGCCCCATTAGTTGCTGAGCACGCATCCCACGATGACGCGCGCACTCCACACACTTGAGAATAAAGAACCTCACTGGTACACGACCTCCAATAATCCAGTAAGACCTTCTAAGATGTGCCAACGTGAGTTGTGTCCTACCATGCAACGTTCACTGATGAGCATCCCTAATGAGAAGTTCCGCCAACACGGAATCCTTAGGGATGATCACTTGATGCGTACTCTCTGGGTCTAAGGTGGAAAACTTGAGGCGCCCACCCACTCTGAGAACACCCTGATGATCAATGAAGGCCGTGAGTTTGGTCAACGGATGAGATCTCCCAAGCTGTTGACCACGAGAGATAATCTCACACTCGGACTGTAGATGAAAGGCCTGAGTCGAGTTGACCCAACACAGCCGAGCTGCCTCCAAGCCACCAGGACTGAATGGATGAACCACAAGCTTCCCAGATTTATTCCTCATTTTCGCCACAGCGAACTGACAAATTGCCGTAACACGGAGCAATTTGTAGGGAGAGGAGTATCTGCCGATCAGATCCCAGAGTGTTGATGATGAGAAGAAAGCAGAGCACGTCACACCTGGCTTCTCCTTGAGGTTCGTTGACGGATCCAGTTCCGCGTTCCGCACAGACAGCAGGATTCTCCTTACCGCTGATGTATCTCCATTTCGCTCCTTCCACCAGTTCCTGTATGCTGGTTAACCTTTTGTGCACATACTCCTTCCACCGAGAAGGATGAGCACTGATCCATGCCAGGGTGATAGCTGAATCTGTCCACAGGAACACAGGAGCCTCATCAAGGCTGAGTTGATTACGCACATACCGTGTGAGTCTCGCCAGAATGACTGCAGCGTCGAGCTCGAGACGTGGAATAGTGAGCTGCTTCAGCGGGGCTACCTTGGTTTTAGCCATTGCCAACGAAACACTGACCCCGACCGAACTCATTACTCTCACATATACCACTGCAGCCATTGTTAACTGAGATGCGTCCGAGAACCCGTGAATCTCCACCTTAGCTTCCTTCCTCAGGCCCAGCCAAAGAGGAATAGAGATCTTCTCGATCCGAGATAGCTCTCCACGAAACAGAGTCCACTTGCGACACAATTGTGGTGTTAAGTCGTCGTCCCAGTCCAGTTTTTCCACCCAGAGACACTGGAGCAGGCACTTCGCCCTAATCACCACAGAAGAAAGCAACCCTAGCGGGTCAAACGGTTGAGCAATGTCGGACAGAATATTCCTCTTCGTCACACTTGCGGTGACTGGGAGGTGGACCGTGAACTTGGATTGGTCTGTGCTCGGATCCCACTTCAGACCAAGAATCTTCGTGACGGAGTCCTCTAGCACCTGCTGACCCTGGGAGACACCTTCTCCATTCAGGAACCGAAGCAAAGACGAACTATTAGTGTGCCATTTTGCTATAGGAAAGCCACCTGCTAAGCACAGACCTATCACTTACTCAGCTACGAGTTGGAGCCCACTTTCTTCATCAGCTCCACCACAGATGTCATCCACATGTCTACCGCTGGTCAACGGAGACACAGCTAAAGGATAGCGATATCCCTCATCCACAACCAGCTCATTGAGAACGCTACAGGCGAGGAATGGGGCCGATTTTGTCCCGTCGGTTATAGTGGTGAGCTGATAGGTACTGATCTGGCCGAAAGGATCTTGCTACTAAATCTGCTGGAGCGGCCAGTCTTCACGATGCACCTTGATTTGACTGAACATCTTCGTAATGTCCGTCATGAAAATGTACTTACTCTGCCTCGACCACAGAAGTACGTCAGAGATGTCCTTTTGCATCTTGGCTCCAGTATGTTGAATGTCGTTGAGGGACCCCCCCAAAATTGTCTTACTGGAGCCGTTGAACACCACTCTCAGCTTTGTAGTCTCGCTACTTTTCCGGAGAACGCAATGATGAGGAAAGTAGTATATAGGAGCAGAAGAGTAAGATTGAGAGAGGAACGCTTAATAGAACCATGAGTCGGTCGCCTCCCCTCAAGAACCCTCAACCCTCCTGAAGTCGAAACGTCATGTGCCAAGGTCATTCCCTCAGAGCGACGCCCCGGTCTCAAGTCCCGAGCATTCCGCGAATCAGACGCGACTGGAGTACGCACCATGTGCCCCATCTCCTCATACTCCTTGAGAAAGTCACTACAAAGCTGAAGAGATCTCTGGTCTTTCTCCATTCTCCGAAGCAGGCTCTTCAGGCACGCCTTGGCGCGGCTGAGAGAGTCACCAAGCTCTGCTGGAGAACGTATAAGAGGCAGTCGAACCACATAGCGCCCTGAGCTATCTCTGGAATGGGTACGCTGGAAGAATTCCTCGCAATCTGCCTCTTCTTTTATGAGAACACTACCACTATCTTCGCCTGTTGACACCTCTTCCTGCTGCCAGAACTTGGTGAGAAGCGTACCCAAATCCTCGTTACTGACGGAGACGTGATGAGAGCTCGCTACCATCGAAATCACCGATGAAGTGGGTCCAAGCACGGCCCAGCCGAAAATAGTGTACATCGCAATAGGGGAGTCCGCTGGCCCCTTGATAATCTGTGGCTCCACAAACGATCCAAACAAATCTGCACCAATGATAAGGTCGACAGCTCTCGACGTTAGATACTTTGGATCGACTAACTTTAGTCCTCGGAGATGGCCCCAATGATAAGTTTGAGAGACTAAAAACGTTGGCAACGAAGTTGTGAGACGATGAAGAACATAGGCTCGGATCTCAATCTGCTTGACTGAGTGCTGTGACCTCAGGCAAAACTGAGAAGACCTTCTCGAGCAAGACCTAGATCCACCAATACCAACGACAGAAAGCAAAGCTGGAGATGTACTTAAGCTTAGCTTCGCCACCACACTCTGAGCAATGAACGACAACTCAGAACCGGTATTCAGCAGTATTCTATCCTCCTGAGAGGATCCATCCTCCTTGATGAGTGAGGCTAGCACCGTTGCGAGAAGAACATCTGGTCTGACCTGCGTAGATACATCACCACTTGTCATTGCTACAGATGGAGAATCATCGGACAGCGACGACGGCAGAGAACTTAGTTCAATTGACGGCGTCGCTGACTCTTCTGGCGTTGNAAAAGTAGTTTGGATTTTTCCTAGGTGAACAACCCGGGAAAATATCCTTATACGCTACATTTGAAGAAACCATCAGAAAGCTAACTTCCAGAGAAATTACTGAAAAATAGGCAATAATAACAGAAGAAGAAAAGCTAACTCATCCCGATTGAGCTATCATAGGAAAATTTGAAGAAACTACGAATGGTCTTGCCTGAAGAGAAAAAAAATTTTGAACGTTAAGATTTTTACATGTGTGAAAATCCTTTGAATGAAAGTGATAACCATCGTGATCGTTGTCATTTAACAGGAAACTATCACGGGGCTGCGCATAGTAGTTATAATCTTGCATATCAAAATTCCCATACTATTCCAAATTCTTCCAGTTGATAAAGAACATTATATCTCTTTCATTAAATGGGTAGCAGGGCCTTGTCTAAATTTTAGATTCAACANCACTGCTGCGTCTGGTCAGGTCTTGAGTCAGTGGACTGTAACGAACTGCCAGCCTGGATCGACTCCTGAGGACGAACCACTCTGGGGGCACCCAGAGGAGCGCTCTGCTGACGACTGACGTGAACCATCGAATGATGGCGCTTCTGACATACGCTGCACGTCTTCTGGGTGCGACAGGCCCTTAGTGAGTGCTTCCCCAAGCAGTTGAAGCAGAGATACTTCCTCTCGACAAATTCCTTCCGTTTCCCTGGAGTCAGCGCCTTGAACATCTGGCACCTATCGATGAAATGATCATCCTGACACATTGAGCAGGGATTCACACTCATATCTGCCCATGATAGGGACCGTCGCGGCAGGTACCATACGATGCCAATTAATTGGGGCGTGGTCGGTAAAACAGTCACGTCCCAGGAGGTGCTGCCGCACGCAGTCACCGGACATCACACGATGAGGCCCATGCCTCAACAGAACCAATATTTAAGAACATTAAAAACCATTTGCATGCAGCTGAAAAACATTTTCCAAACATTTCTAAATATTTGAAAACATTTGAAAAACATTTTTAAACATTGGCAAACATTTCAAAACGTGAAAAAACATTTCAAAAACTTATTAAAAACATTGATTGTAAGACGTATAGCGGTTTTTTGTTGTCAAAATATTCCTTATGATAATATCTGTCGAATATGCGAAGAAGACGAAAACAATATTGTGATTATTTTGAAAAAGTTATTTCGCAAATTATTCTCTTCTATCACGTAAAATTTATTGTTTATCATTTTCTTAAATTAAATAAGATTCATTCTCAACTCATTTTGTCAGATTTTCAACTTAATGGAATGTCATCATCATTATTCTTATTATTCCTTCCTTCTCTACAATCAGAAGGAAGAATTCAAATTCAAGAACTCAAACAATTCTCTACGTTCTCTAGGGTAACGGAATGACCTATCGTCGCTGAGATATCCAGACTAGGGGGAGAAGGCCCTAGTAAGATTCTGAGTTAGTCGAACGCGGACGCTGGAGCGGGGAAGTCAAAAGGATTTCTCCGATATATACTGTGGTGTTGGCTTGAAAGATGGCCACGGGAATGGTGGGCGAATAGCTCAGCGCAGCCAGGTGCATAACTGATGGTAGTGAGCGTAGGGGGATGCTCCTTCATCCCCCACAAACGGAAAAAAGAGTTATTTCGGAACTCTTAGTGACGACTTTGTTGTCTCCGGCGTTATCCGGCTCGGCGAAACAAATGTNAGTTTGGATTTTTCCTAGGTGAACAACCCGGGAAAATATCCTTATACGCTACATTTGAAGAAACCATCAGAAAGCTAACTTCCAGAGAAATTACTGAAAAATAGGCAATAATAACAGAAGAAGAAAAGCTAACTCATCCCGATTGAGCTATCATAGGAAAATTTGAAGAAACTACGAATGGTCTTGCCTGAAGAGAAAAAAAATTTTGAACGTTAAGATTTTTACATGTGTGAAAA